TTTTCAAACCCCCTATTTATAGAAAATCACAAAAAAGTGCCCTGAAAGGGCCCCGTCGAGTCTGGAAAAGTGGATTTTGAGCAGACGCGCTCAAACGACAAAACTCCATGAACAAAAAAGATTCAAAATGAGAAAATATGAACAACGAAATAAACAGCGTCGAAAACTGAGTCCCGAACAGAAAGTTATTCCCCGAACAAGTTCGGTGGCAACCGGGGCCAGAAATCCCTAAAACTGGGGAAAACGACCAGAAGAAAATTCTAAGAGTTCACGACTCGACGAAATGTGAAAATGAATTCCGTACGAGGATCTAAGCTCCAGACGAGACATTTTGCAATAACTTTCGTTAATTGCACAATGGCCCCTACAAAAAGGGTTAACTGCGAAACTGCCCCAGAATAAAAATATCTTCCAAAAGATATTTTCAAAATATATTTATGAAAAACACCCCAAGAAATGAAAAAGATTCTGAAGAATTGTGCATCCATGCCCCTATGAGCACCCGGAGCAGCCAGAGTACTTTCTTGAAAAAGTAAAGATACGTATTTCGAGAAAACCACTCAGGATGAAGGCACGTGAAGTCAAAAACTAACTCCGAGCATGAGAAGTGAGGTTGTGCCAATAATGTGACAAATGGGGAAAAGACAAACTAGGGAAAAGGACGAAATAGGGAAAAGGACGAAAGGCGCATAGTTTTAAAAAATGAAAAATGTGAAAATGACTCGGTCCTCAAAGGAAGTTGTCAATCCACGGAAAAGAGTCTCACGAACCAATTCCGAGCACTCGAGATGACACTAAGCGACACAAAAACAGAGCTCAGAAAAGAAAATTAAACGAAAAAAATTCATTTGTAAAATTTCAAGAAAAAGGAAAGGGAGGCAAATGACCGGGTCGTTACATTTAATGAATGATTAATGAGGGGGAAAACATGTATTACAACAATAGTGTGTGTGTGTGGTTGTTTCAACAAGCATGGATGACCAATTAAGTATATATTGTCCAAGCAACATGGTGGATAACACAATATATCAAACTAAGCCATTAATCATTTCTTTAAGCTCACAATCCAAACACATCATAAGGTTAGAGACATATGCTACTTGTTTTCATAAGTATGGAACATCAAACAACAAGCATGAATTGTCCTCCCATTTAACATCTAAACTACAACTACACTACAATTAAGCTAATGACATGCAATTAAACTAATTAAACTAAGAGAGAGGCACAATCCATCAAGAAATGAGTATGAACCATCAAACAAATCACAAGAGCATTCTATTAAGCACTATGTCTTGACAATCTCTAGATCTATAGTATCAATACACATAGACATGCATCAATAACACAAAATCTAGAGACAAACACATGAACATCTATTCTAGCATACATAGACATATGGATAGAATGAAATGATCAATTGGAAGCATTAAACCACACAAATCATTAAATAAACAAGATCTATGTATATAAAAATGTCAAAACATATATCACAATACAAATCCCCTCAAAAAATACATAAATTAAGATATAGAAAGCATGCTTAGGGCTAACTCTAGCCCCAAGAGGATGTCTAGCCACTCATGGATGGTATCCTCTAACCCTTAAGGGCTAACTCCATAGTAGAGATTGCTTCTCTTCTTGGTTGATGGAAGAACTCCAAGCTTGTGTCTCTAGCCTCCTCTCTTCTTTTCTTCCTCACTAAGAATATGATATCAATTGTGTCACCAAGTCTCTCTAAGTATGTATATCTCTATGTATCAAGAATGGCTCATATTCCTTATATAGGTAGGTTAAATGTCACCCCCAATGACCTGGGCTCGTACACCAATATTCCCCCAAGGATTAGATATGAGACAACTTTTAATGAGCTGGAAATTGAATTTTCTTGCACTTGGGGAAGTTCGATCGATCGAACTTGTGGTGAGATTGATCGAACATGGCTGAGATCTATCGAACTTAAGTTAGATCGATCCTCTATAGCGGCGCCTTTTTGGATAAAGATAAATCTGAGATATTTTGGGGAACAAGACAAAAGTGGTAGGTAGGGTGGTACAACTAGATAAGATGGAATCTTTTCGATCGATTTGAAGAAAGTTGGATCGATCGAATTTTGTGGGATCTTTGGATAAAGGCAAAAGAGCTTGGATCCATCTTGAAATGTCTAGATCGATGAACTTTCGATCGATCGAATATTTCCTAAGATCGATCGAACTTGCTGAATTTCCACCACTTGCTTCCTTTTGCTCCCACTTTGCTCATTTCTTTGGTTCATCCCAAGATTGCTTCAATTATGCTTTTGTTTAGCTGAGTTAGCTTATTTTGGGGATAAGTACCTGAAAATGGAAATAATACAAAATCAGTCTAAAACGGAAAAGTAAGATAGATAAAGGTTCTAGAATACCTAAGCTTAAGGGGTTTAAATGTGCACTTTTCAGCATTCATCAAAGTAGATGAAGATGAAGTTATTTCCAAGAAAATGAAGTCTATCACTGAAATCCCCGAGGTGAAGCTACTTGATACTAGATTAGTAATATTTTATACTCCAATGGTATAACCAAATCGGTATTATTTTCAGAGCACCTCCCTCTCTTCAGAACAAAAAGAAAGTCAAGAAATTGTTATGGACAATGTTGAAGAAAAAAAGACTGAAATGTCAATAGAACAAGAACCAGTGTTTCTTGAAAGGATAATTTCTCCGGCTTCTTCTCAACATCTAGCTGCAAGAACTAGTGTTTCCTGAATGGATAATTTCTTTTGCTTCTTCTTAACATCTAGCTGCAACTTCGATGAATGAACAAATTAGACACTCTGAAGAAATAAGTTATTCAGCTTCTCTTTTAAACAAACACTGTTATCTTCAACCACTGTATAATTAACTTAAATCATTTCAGGTGCCCAAGGACTCTATTCCTCCTGTGACTCTTTCAACTGCCGATCCTAGTTCACCCTTTATCACTTTAGACTCTTTATTTGAGTCTGTGTTTGTTCCAATAGATCCGGAACCCCCTTTGGTGCTAACTGACAATCCCTCTGAGACTCCAAAAGATTATGCCAAATATTGCAACATGATGTCTCCCTACTCCCTTCTTTCAAAGAAGAATTATCTGAGACACTTTCCTTCCTGAGTAGTTACCCAGGATTTTCTTTGGGTGATCAATCTTTTTTCAAGAATTTCCAACTGCAAGTTCCCTCTGTGATTACTTCCTATGCCCAACCAAACCATCAATCATTACTCTTCCCAATTTCAAGAAAAAGAGAAACTTTCCCAGGCATTGAAGATTGGAAAAGAATTACACACTTCTTTGAAAAAAGAAGCGGCCGAGCTGGATACCTATAATTAGATAAAACTCAACTCGGCAACAAGGTGGCAGAATTGAAAGCGCAAACTGAAGTTGCTATTCCTAAATTCAAAGCACTGCAGACGCAAATGCCGAGGTTAGAGCAATCCAAGAAATAAGCAAAACTAAAACTCAACCAAACCCGGGCCTCTTGGGCGGATCTTAAGGCCCAATTTGAAGAATTTCAAAAGAACTTTAACCAATCTTGATTTGTAATGGTCTTTGAACAATTATGGTTTTTGAACTAATGATGTAATATGGTGTTTTGAATAATTATGTTTTGAACTACAAAATGCATGGTAGTTTTATTTGCTTAATCAACTGAGTTTACACATTTGCAAACAACTAAAAATAAACAGTTAATGCTGAACAATCATCCACTATTTTTGACTTATAAGAGGCTTTCTTCTCCTCCATTAGTTCAAAAATAGTGGATTGGTACTTTTTCAAATACCTTCCACTTATAGGCCTTTCATGCACTTCACCATCACAATCCTTTAACTTATAAGCCCCTCCATGCAATACTTGGTGGACCAAATATGGTCCCTTCAATGTAGGGGACCATCTTTCATAAGTTCTATCTATCTTTCCAGGTGGAAGAATCATTTGCAAAACCATATCACCCTCTGCAAATGATTTGAACTTTAACCTTTTGTTATAACCTTTCATTACTTTTGCTTTATGGACCATGAGGTGGACTAGGACAAGTTTTTGAACTTCATCAAAGTCTTACAACTCGACAAGCATAGCTTCATTGTAATCGGTAGGTATTAAATTGTGTTGCAAAGCTACCATTGCCGATTTGACATTCAACTCCATCGGCAACACAGCATCATGGCCAAATGTTAGCCGATAAGGAGTAGTTCCTGTACTTGTCCTTTTTGAATTTCAATAAACCCACAAGGCTTTTCTGAAAGGGTTTCATGCCATCTTCTTGGCTTGTCCTTGATCATCTTCTCAATAATTTCAATTACAACTTTGTTTGAGGCCTCTGTTTAACCATTCCCTTGAGCATAATAAGGGGTTGAGGTTAACATTTTTAGCTGCATATTGCGGCCGAGTTATAATACATTTCCACCTCTGAATACAGATCCATTATCAGTAAAAATTATTTCTGGCAAACCAAATTGGTAAAAGATGTGTCACTGCAGAAATTGTATAACGGTGTTTTGAGTCACCGATACATATTCTTCGACTTCTACCCACTTGGTAAAATAATCAGTAGCTAAGATAATCCAATGATGAACTTTTGATGAAGGAGGGTTAATCTTACCGATTAGGTCTATGGCCCAACCTCTGAAAGGCCATGGTTTTACTAATAACTGTATCTCTATTGTTGGAACCCATTGCATTGGCCATGCTTTTGACAATCTGTACAACCCTTTACATAGGTCATATAATCTTCCCTCACTTCAGGCCAATAATATCCATATCGGCGTATCAGCCATCTTATTTTTATGCCAGCTTGGTGAGCTCCACATATCCCTTCACATGCCTCTACCGTAATCTTTAAACCTTCAAACTTGCTAATACATTGAAATAACAAACCATCATCAGCCAATCTCCTATAAAGATCTTCATCCATATGTACATAATCATTTTTAATTTTTGATCGGCTGTTGGAGTTGAATGTTGTAGGAACAAAATATAAGGAATCCGCTAATCATCATCATCTAACTCGGCAATATCAATAGCAAAAACTTCTTCCATAACTTGGTTTTTTGTTTCAGCCAATGGAAGAGATCGGCATGTGATTTTCATTATCCTTTCCTTTATACTATTTGGCACTCTGATTCCTGAAGTGGTTTGGGCTAAATCATTAGCTATTTTATTCATGGCTCTTGGTCGGTATTCCAAAGTCACACTGTGAAATTGGTTAACCAATTGAGTTGCCAATGAATGAAATGGCCTTAATTGCCAATTTAAACACCTAAAATCTTCTGATATCTGATTAATCACTAAACTTGAATTTCCCACAATGTGGACATCTTTGACCGCCATCTCTAGTAGAATTTCCAAGCCGATGATCAATACTTCATACTCAGCTTGATTATTTGAGCACTTGAAATCTAAAAAGAAGGAAAACGAAATTTGGTTCCCTAATGGGGATATTATAGCTATACCAACCCTTGATCATTCGCAGGTACTCGACCCATCAAACATTAAAGTCCAAGGGGTCATGAATACGGCTGCCAAGTCTAGTTCATCAAAAACTTGTGATTCGATTTCTGGTGAGGGGTGATCGGCAAGGAAATCTGCCAATGCCCTCCTCTTAATCATTTTTTGTGGAACATAGGCAAAGTTGAACTCCATTAATGCTAGAGCCCACTTGCTGATCTGGCCTGTGATTAATGGCCTTAATAGCATATATTTTATAAGATCTGTTTAATAAACAACATAAACCAACACAGGATCCTCCCCTAACTAACACAGGATAAACCAACATAAACCAACACAGGATCTTCCTAGTTCTAAAGTGTAAACTGATTAGCATTTGCAAAACTCAACATGTAGGATCCTCCCCTAACTGTACACTGTCCATAACTTAATCCATTTATGAATCATTATTTACCTATAATCTTAAAGGTCTAAAACAATAATATATATCATTTAGAACAATTTAACACAACTGTTAAACAATTAAACAACAAACTATCCCTTAAATAATTTATAAAAATTATTTATAAATCCCAATTCCTTTAATATAAGAAGTGTATTATGCTTCCTAGAACCCTCCAAAGTCCATTTAACCCATTTAGATTAATCAAAATAGGTTCTAACACAATTCTGGGCAATTAAAACTAAAATCCAAGTCGCAGCCCAACTTAGTCGCCTCAATTGCCAACTGAGCAGGCTAAGTTGCTAACTTAGTCGGCTCAGTTCCTAACTGAGTCGGCTAAATTCCTAACTTAGTCGACTCAGTTCCCAACTGAGTCGGCTAAGTTGATGCTGAAGCCGTCTTCTTCGTCCGTTCAGCCCCTGTAAGCCCCAGAACTCCATTGTTAAGGCCTCTAAGCTTTAACCTACGTCCCATACGTCCATACTAAATTATTATAAGTATTTTAACATGCAAAGATTTATCTTAAACAACAATTATGCATCAAAACTTCCACAACCATTCAAAATAAGAAACTGAACCTAAAAACATATACCCTCTGTTTTAATCCAGTTAAGCATGCATGAATAAATCAGTTTTAGCATGTATTTAAACCCCTGGAGTCTAGCTAGGCATTCACAGAACACGAATTAAAGGGAAAGAGCAAGAACAGAAACTTGCATTTGAGTTTCAGATTTGAAACTCTAATCCACGTCTCTGAACTTCCAACTTTGTTCCACGCCTCTGTTACTCTTGGCTAACCCAGAAGCAACCCACTCCTTCCTCCTTGAGCCTCTCTATTAAACCCTCAAACTTCCCTCTCGTTGCTCTCTGTATTCCTCTCTGTAACTCTCCGTTTCACAGTATTCGTGAATAGGCTGAATAGGGTTTGTTTTGTAACCCTTGGCAGACGTATGCTTATGTATTTATAGGTTTTATTTGAAACCCCAAATTAAATCCTAAACCAACTACAAGTCGGCTCAAACCCAGACACGATGTATAACATAAAACCCTAATGATTAAACAGCTAAATTACATTTAAATCACAAAACCACATAAATAATTAAAAACGTTAGAATATAATTAAGTTAAATGAAAAACAAAATACCACTTAAATAACCAATTAAAATAATTCACTTAAAACAATAATAATAAAATAAAACACAATTTAAATAGACAATACAACCAAGCAAGTAACCAAAACACAAGCAATTAAACTATCTAATTAGTAAAAATGCACATAAATAATTAAAATAAATTCCAGAACTGTCTTTTTAAAATTAGGGGTATTACATTTTTCCTCCAATTTTGACTTCTAGATGAAGAATTCCTTTAGTGCTGGTTGAACCTCTGTTGAATCCACAGATTGCTACATCGGTAGGAATAACAACTTCCATACTCTTGCCACGTTTCTTAATGTACTAGCTGGGATAACATTCAGAACCGAGTCATTGTCTACCAAGACTCAGTTGACAGGTTGGCCTTCTACCCATACTTTCACATACAAAGGCCTTAATTGTTGAGTCATTACTAACAAAGGTTTCTCAAAGATTACCTTCTCTGCCGATTCTGAAGAAAGAATTGATAACTTCTGAATCGGCTGATTTTCCTTCTCTTCGGCACTATCTTTTTCTTCCACTTCTTCACTCTTCTTAATATCAGTAGTTGATGCCGATGGAGCCCAGAATATTGTTGACAATACAAATGCCATATTACAGGACATTTTATCTGGAAAACTACCATAATTGTATTCTAAACTCATTCTTGCGTCTGGGTTACTTTGGTTGATATTCTTCAACCCTAGCAGGTTAATCTTTCTCTGGAGTATTGGCTTGCTCAGCCAACATTTCTTGGTTTCCCTTTTCACTTTTCCTTTTTTCCTTAGCCCTTCTAATTTGTTCCGTGTGTTTTTGAGATCAAGTAAGGCCTTCACTTGGTGTTGTTGAACTTTAGGGAATTTTGGGTGATTAACTCGAGTCCATCTATCCTCGGCCGTGTCTGTCTTTGGCCGTACAGTTCGTACCTTATATGAATCAGCTCCCTTTTGTACCCAAATTTCTGATTGGACTGGTGAACAACGTTTAAAACTAGATGCTGATACTGGGAATGGAATCGGCTAGACATATATTCTTACTGATCCTGCTTCTCTGCCTTCAAATGACTGCGGCTGGAATTAACCTACCGAAGCTCTTCATTGGGCTTATTTGGGAAGGTAAGCCTTTCAATAATCCCTTTCCTCTTCGGTTAGTTTGCCATTGGCTCTTCTTCTTTAGTTTTTTGCTGCCCCTTACAGTTTAGGCAACAACCATGGTCTATTAAGGACAATTAAGCCTCTCTTAGCTGTTTCTGCAAGTCTGCCATCATTTCTGGTGTCACATTCGATGAGAGGGACTCATCCAACATCTTCGCGGCCTCCTGCCGATTTTCTCGCTTGGCTAAGCTTATCATATTAGTCGATGTAATTGTAGGGAATGGATTAGTATCCACTTTCATAGTGTCTGAAGTTTTCTTCGGGAATTTTAATGTACCTTCGTCAATAGCTTTCTACAACACACCTCGTAAAACAGTACAATCATTAGTAGCATGGTTCCAAGAGTTATGATACTTACATTACTCTTTCCATTTTAGGTCACCTACACATGGAATCTTATGTCCCTTGGGCAAACTGATCATTTTATCGGCCATAAGGTGATCAAAGATTTGATTTGTTTTTGATAAATCAAAAGAATAAATTTTCCCTCTATCGGCAACTCCTTTCCTTGCTGCCGATGTTGAAGTTGCATTGCCCCCCTGGTCGGGTTAGGTTTGATCAATGCCTCACAAATATAAGGCTTCTTGATATTGACCTCAGTAACGTCAACTTCCAGTTCATCACCAACTTCTGCTGAGAACACCTCATAATTAGGGTCTTTGTAAAAAATAACCTTAAAGAAATTCTTTCTCTCCTTCTCCTCCTTAAGTATCTCCTCATACCGAGTAGCTCTATCTGCGAACTCGAAGATATCTTGGAATTCAACTCCATTAAACCTTTTTCGATGTTCAATGTCTAATCCGTTCAATGCTAACTTGATATACTTTGGTTCAGGCAAACTTACTCGGCATTTAAGCTTGGCCTTTCTGAACTTGGCCACAAAAGTTTCAATAGATTCGCTCGGCAACTGAGATAATCGAGATATATTTGCCAGCGTAGCTCTGTCTTTATTCGGTAGAATTAGGTATAGAAACCCTCTTCCATTTCATCCCACATCTGAATAGAATTAGCCGGTACGCGTTTTAACCCCTTAAGCTACGGTATTCTAGGATATTTACCTATCTTACTTTCCCGTTTTAGACTAATTTCATGTTATTGCCCTTTTTAGGTGCTTATTCCAAAAATAAGTCAATTTAGCCAAATAAGAGCATTAAAGGAGTTAACTCAAGCAGAATGGAAGAAATGAGCAAAGTGGGAGCAAAATGAAACAAAGTGTGGAAATTCGGTATGTTCGATCGATCTCAGAATTTCTTCGATCGATTGAAAGTTCATCGATCTAAACAATTCAAGATGGATCCAAGCCCTTGTCCTTATCTAAAAGAATCCAGCAAGTTCGATCGATCCAACATTTTTCAAATCGATCGAAATGATTCGATCTTATCCACACCTACCACCCACCTACCACTTTTGTTTTCTTCCCAAAAATATCTCAGAGATTTGCTTTTATTCAAAAAGGCACCACCAAGGATGATCGATCTCTGTAGCATTCGATGGATCTCAGCCATGTTCGATCGATCTCAACACAGTTCGATCGATTGAACTTCTTGAAGTCCGAAAAAAAATAGATTCCAGCTCATTAAAAGTTGGCTCATGGTGCAATCATTGGAGGGACGTTGGTATATGAGCCCAGACCATTGGTGTGACATTTGACCTACCTATATAAGGATTGAGAGCCACTTTTAGAGCATAGTTGTTATTCATAATTTGTATATCTCATATCTTGGAGATGAGGCTAGAGATTAGAGAGTTTTTACACATTTTAGGAGTTCTTCCATTCTTCTAGGGTTTCCATCAAGAAGAAGGTCATTCCTACCATCGAGATAGCCTTTGAGGGTTGGATGAGTACTTCAATGAGTGGCTAGACATCTACTTGGGGCTAGTGTAGCCTCTAAGTTTGCTTCCTAGACTTAGTTCTTTTTATATTTTTGGGGATTTATTTGTAACAATGTTTTGATCTTGGATTTATTTATATATATCTTGTGGTTTCTAATTGATATGTTTGGATTAATGCTTTTAATTGATTATCTACTTCTAACCATATGTCTATGTATGCTAGAATGGATGATTCATGTAATTCTCTCTAGATTTAGTAGAATTTATGCATGTCTATGTGTATGGATAAAGCTAATCTAGAGATGGTCAAAACATAGAGCTTGATTAAACACACTCTTGCAATTTATTTGATGGTTCACACTTGTTTCTTGATGGATTGTACCACACCCTTAGCTTACTTAGTTAAATTTCATGTCTTTAGTGTAGATGTAGTGTAGTTGCTTTAAATTCATAGATAAGTGGACAATCTACTCTTGTTCCTTAATGTTCCTTACTTATGAATGCATTTGGTGTCTGTTTCTAGATAGTTGTGTGTGCATAAATTGTGGTTTCATTGAATGGATTTTGGTCTCATTTGATAGGTTGTGCTTTCCATTTGATTTGGCTTGACAACCTATGCTTATTTGCCATTCA